GTTATTGTTTTCCCGCTGTTTAATTATTAATAATTACTCCCTTCTTTTTCTATAAAGCACGAAAGTGAGGTTCCAGAGGACAAAATCCCATTAATTTTCCTCACAGTGGAAATGATTTTAGAGATAAATATAATATAATATATATTCAAACCGGACTTACTGTGACCATGATTTTAAGTTACGTTTATGCATTTTATCCGGCAGACGCTTTTATTCAACGTGACTTACACTGCATTCAAGGTGTACATTATAGATGACCTTGGTTCTGTAAGCGCAGAAATGATATTTGCTTAGAAACCACACGTTATCGTTTTAAATTTGTTTAATTGCAAAATTGAAGAGAAATACTGAAAATGTGTGAATTTAGCAGTCGAGTCTCTATACACTCTCACATTACTCTCAAATATTTGTGTATGTTTGAATATTTAGCAAATACATATATGTGTGTGTGTGTGTGTTAAAAACTATTTATTATTATTATTTTATCCACCCACAGTAGCTGCTATAGGTAAATAACTAGAAAAATAAAGTACATCTATTTTGTGCTATAAACCAATGTGTTTATGATTATTATTATTATAAAGTAAAGTATGATGACATATATCAGTTTGCAACATTGATCAGGACAGGAATGGAGTGTTTTGGTACAAAATAAATAAGTTTTCCATTGATGTATGGTTTGTTAGGATAGGACAATATTTGGCTGAGATACAACTATTTGAATATCTGGAATCTGAGGGTGCAAAAAATCAAAATATTGAGAAAATCACCTTTAAAGTTGTCCAAATGAAGTCCTTAGCAAGGCATATTACTAATCAAAAATTATGAATTTAAAATATTTATGGTGGGAAATTTACAAAATATCTTCATGGAACATGATCTTTACTTAATATCCTAATGATTTTTGGCATAAAAGAAAAATGGATCATTTTGACCCATACAATGTATTGTTGGCTATTGCTACAAATATACCCGTGCCACGACTGGTTATATATACATATATAATATAATATCAAAAACATTGAAACCTATTCTATTTCAGCTAGTTGCCAAAGTAACTTTTCCCATTTTAATGTATTATGTTTTATGCATTTTCAAACAAATACAATAACTGATAAAAAATGACAAATTACGAAAACTAAAAATACGAAATTCCGTATAAAAAACGATAATAGTATCTCAGTGATTCTAAAATAACACTGATGTGTGGTTCATTCTATCATAAAATAACTAGATAACATTGATATATTTTATAATATTTAATTATGTATTTTATAAAATGTATAATATTTTTTAAAAGGCCTTCAGGGAAAAAATGCATGGGAAAAACACTTCTAAAACGAAAGCCTCTGTAAAAGTGGCCGTCCGCTGGTGCGCTCTGTCGCTGCTTTCAAAAGTTACATCTGCCGTGTTCATCTCTTAGCTCTAAAGCATCTTTTCCTGCTAGTCTTAACCTGGAGCAAAGAACAAGAGGAGCTAATAGGGTGTGCTATGCTAGCGTGTCCAATAACCGCACGCGCACACACACAAACACACACAGCTCACAGGGCAATCATTTGAAACATATAGCATCAGTCTTTCAATTTGATCCCTCTCCCCTCCGCAAACCTCTCCCGTAACATCATTATTGATGGCGGATCTAAATCCTCCTCTGACAGGCCTGTGTTATCCGGGCTCGGGGGAAATGCAAATTGATTCCAGATCTGAAGTGGCATTTTTTGAGGGCCTGAACATATTACGCACTCTGTCATTTCAGGCCCGACTGGAAGAATCCCAGGTAAATGTCAGTCTCCATCTCCCGCGGTGAGTGCAACGCAAACAGGCGTCTGTTTGATATGGGAAGCGTCTCTCGTTTTCTCACGCTGCTCTGTTTATCACACATGAAAATCAGATATCGCTGCCTCAGATGAGTGATTGACTCATACCAAACCTGAGCTAATATAGTCCCACACACACTTGAAATGTCAATTCATGAAGAGAAATATTAAATATTACATTTGAACTGGCAATATAGAGACCTAGTGAGCTGCCTTGCTGTCTACGGCCTACATAGGCAGCTGCCTTATAAGAAAGCATCCTAACTGAAATGAAGCCTCATGTGTGACTAGTTTTTCAATTAATTTTAGTACAATATGTGATACGAAAAACACCAACCTGGAAACAAATTGCATTTTGGCACTTCTGGTTCAATTGTCCTGAAGTCAATGGGGCTTTTGGAGGGTTCTTAATGCCGGAAATAAGGTCTGTGTTTAACGCTAAGCTCAAGATATTTTCATGTGTTTCTACAACATAAAATACATCAGAAACTGTACTCGCGATTAGATTTTTAAGCTTTTATGTTTCTTGAATTAGGCAGTTTATAACAATGGCTAAATGGGACTACAGAGGTTGTCTGGGACATTAAACGAAACTCAACTACTCGCTAGTTGCTTTCACAGCCTCATTGTGTTTATAGCCGCACTCTTGCAAACTACTTTAATTCAAATTTCCAAATTTATTTTAAATGAAGACCGAAAGAGTTGTCAGAAGCTTAGTTGACTTGGTGTAGTTCACTTATAGCCTAGCTTTTTACTTTTGCACTCTAAAAAAAATCTGTAAAAATAGGGCACAATGTACTATATTAATTTGAAGAAATTGAACATATTTATTTTTTTCAGATGTTTCACCTGTATTTTGAATTTTACACTGCATTGCGCTGTTTTAGAGTTAACAGAAATATCCATGAAAAGGAAATGGATAATGTCCTAGTAAAAAGCTGCCATTACTTTTTTCTGTTATTTTACAGATTAATTTTTTTACAGTGTTATTTTTTGCCCAATATTATTTTAGTATCACTGATAAATAATATTTTTAATTACATTTTATTTTTATATTTACTGTTTTCATTCTATTCTTTAAAATGTTAGTAATTTAGTTGTGTTTTCTGGCATTTTTATTAGTTTTTTTGTCTATATTTTTATTAAGTTTTAGTTTTAGCTTATTTAGTTTTAGTTATTTTAGTACTTCAGCTTAAACAAAAAAAAATGAGAAATGTTATCTAGGCAACTAGATTAAATAAAAATAAGTTTAAGTTTTTTTTTATATATATTTTTTATTTATTTCAGTTATTGTGTATTTTATTTGAAATACTGAACATGTGTCTTTCATGGTTTTAGTTTTAAGTTTAGTTTAACGGTAATAACCCTGCTTCAGGCGATTGTATTTAGGATTCAAAAATCATTAAAGTTGTGTCCATTTCTGAAAATCATCTTGATGTACAAAACATGTAAGAAACATAAACCTGTGTTGGTCACAGAGCTTATTTTCTACAATAATACAAAAGCCAATGGAGAAAACCTATTGGGTTTTTGTCAATTCTAACTTTCGAGTTGGCCTACAAAATTGCATCACTTCAGTGCTCTATAAGCACAAAAAAATGAAGAAGCACAATCAAATATTGGGTAAAGTCATTCATTTCTAATTGCAGTTTTGGGTCACTCTATCCACAAAGGATGCATACAATGCCAAGAGAAGCATAAGCTGCTTACCTTTTGCAGTAACCGTCATGTTACGATGCCTTAATATGTTACCAAATGGATCTTGTGGCTCTACTGGAACTCTTCAGGGTCTAAATTTACAGTTTGCCATCAGAAATCACATCTGTAATTCAGAAAACAACAATATAATCTTATGTATCAATTAGGTTTTTAGTTGAGTCCAAACAGACACTACATTCAAGTCCTGAAATTGTGATCGTTGAAATGAAGTGATAACTATTGCAGAATGTGGGTCTCCAAGCGAAACATGGATGCCAACAGTTCAACCCATTTGCCAGTAGAGTACATTTGGAAATAATTGAACCATGTTGTCTAATGAGTCTTCACGTTTATGTCTTCAGATCTCAGACTCTGAAAACTGAACATTAACGTCATGAAAATGTGTGTATGAGACATGAGAGGTTATGAAAACAAAACTAGGTTTACTGACAAGAAAAGGATGAATTAAAATGGAACGACTGAATGACATGAAGGGAAATCTAGAGAAATAGAAAGAAAAAGACAGCTGGAACGGTGACGATCTGATCATCATCAGTCTGTCTGGAATGACATGAAGAAACAGAACAAACTGAGACAGACTCAATCCAGAAGAACTGTGGCAGCGTCTCCAAGACGCTTCAAGAAACCTCCTGCAAAGCTCCCTGAAAAACTCTGCTCAAGTGCACCGAGTTGTCAAAATGTGATGACATAAGCAATCTGTACACTGTTATTGCACTTTGCTGGAGGTGGAGGGAAACATTTTAAAATTACAGGAGAAAAAAAGGAAAAAACGGGAAAGAAAGCACAGGAGCTGCCAGCTCTCTGCCAGGAATGATCGCCTCAAGTGTTTTCTCTTTGTTCCCTCGCCGATTCACTTTCCTCCTTCTCTGGATCGCTTGTACTTGCTCTCTTCCTACTATAAGAAAGGCCAAAATTATTAGAACGCTAGTATTTTCACCAGCTAAAAATGTATTTTGTCAGTAGGAAATATCAGTTTACGTTCCCAAACATTCATTTAACCATGAATTTTAATAATTCAGTGAGATTTTTGTTTGCTGCACACAGAGATCTGATCTGATCATCATCAGTCTGTCTGGAATGAAAATCTATTTATGACATTATTTTTGACAGCATCTTCATTTTACAGTATTTTTACACAGGTGCCTAAAACCTTTAACAGTACTGTAGCTTTGCAGGAGGTTTCTTGAAGCGTCTTGGAGACGCTGCCACAGTTCTTCTGGAGTTAGTTTGTCAAACAAAAATCTCACTGGATTATTACAATTAATGGCAAAATTATTGTTTGGGAATGTAAACTGATATTTCATACTGACACATTACAGTGTGTACACACTACACACTACCAATTGTTTAACAATTTTGGCCACCACTGTATATATATATATATATATATACAGTATACATATATACATATACAGTATACAGTATACACATATACACACACATACATATATATATATATACACAGCATGCAGGACGAACTTTGACGACACATCTCCAGAGTGAGACGTTAATGAGATTTCTGAAAGAGACACGGATGCACTGAATAATTAGATCATAGATCTATGTCTGCACAAAACTGCAGTGATGCATCATTCATTCACACAAATATTACCTGCCCATGATGCTCCATGAGGGACGGTAATGAAATGGCGCCGGATTTGTCCTGGTCTGAAGTGGGCGTCTGTGAACGTGATCTCTTGACTGCGACTATCAGCTACTCTATAAGACACAAACACATGTCACACACCAGCAGAAACACAGATGCTAGCGGAAGAGATCAGTTGGACGTACTTCGCAGGGATTATAACCGTTATAGGAACTCTGAAGAGAGGACCGGCGCTGAGAGCGGACGTGTCGTATCCACACACCTGGAAAACACACACACACACACACACACATTTGCATTTGTGGTTTACAGGGACATTCCATAGGCGTAATGGTTTTTATACTGTACAAACTGTATTTTCTATTGCCCTACACCAACCCTACACCTCTAAACCTACCCCTCACAGGAAACTGCTGCCAGTTTTTGAATTTCATAAAACTTTTTTTTGTATGTTTTTTAAGCCTTTTGTTTTACGGGGACACAGGAAGTGTCCTCATAAACCATGTTTACGTTGTAGTACCCATGTCATTATACACATTTGTGTCCTCATAAACCATATATACCTGTACACACACACACACACACACAAAATATGCTGGTCAAAAATGGAATAATTATTTTTTTTATGATTTCTGAAGGGTCATGAGACATTAAATACTGGAGTAATGCCTGCTAAAAATTCAGCTTTGCATCACAGAAATAAGTTACATTTTAAAATATATTCAAATAGAAAACAGTTCTTTTAAATTGTAATAATATTTTATAATATTACTATATTTTTTATCAAATACATCAAGCCTTGGTTCCATAAGGAAATCTCACGTTTCAGAAGAGATCTCAACAATGTGATCAGATGTACCAAGACATTCTGCAATCAAAGTCTGAGATCTCAATATGAGCTCAAACATTTCTCATCATATTTGTCCCAAAACACAATCTGAGCTGCTATAGGCTACATGTGGTCTGGTTAGACGCCATATTGAATATAAGCATATGAAAATGCTGTGAGGGATCGACGAACCCCGATCACGTTAATTTCATAACTCACAACTTTCAAAACTGTTTTATGGAGTTTTCGTCCACTGAAAGTTTTTTTTTTTTCTTTTTGGAAAGACGTTTCACCAACTGGACAAGTTTTGAAACAACAATACAATTAATGGCACTCTACATACACTCTTAAAAATAAAGGTGCTTCAAAAGGTTCTTCAAGCGATGCCATAGAAGAACCATTTTTGGTTCCACAAAGAACCATTCAGTCAAAGGTTCTTTAAAGAACCATCTCTTGCTTATCTTTTTGTAATCTGAAGAACCTGCTTTCGCCAAAAAGAACCATTTGTGAAACAGAAAGGTTCTTCAGATGTTAAGAGTTCTTTATAGAACCATTTAGACAAAAAGGTTCTTCTATGGCATCGTGAAGCACCTTTATTTTTAAGAGTGTATATCCCTCAGTCACAGCCTCGTTTTCATTCCTGTCAGAAATTAAATATGGCGCTACCCTGATACTGTATGTCAAAATTTGATTCTATTTTAGGAGAAACACCTGAGACAAAGTTAACACTTCAGCTGAGAACTCCATTAAGTCTCCCAAGCATCGAAAAAGCCACCTCTGTGCGTTACCCGCTCGTTTCTCTCGTCTCTGCCTCCTACCAGCCCTCACACACACGCATGGATGGATGCCAGATGAAGAGGAGAGGCATATCTGGATGTAATGTCATTATGAACGCTTCCCTTAAAGCTCAATCATAACTGCGTTATGAGCGATACAGCTCTTTATATGACACAAATGAAGTCGTCCATCTTCCCCTGGATGGAGTCATCAATTTCCCCTGGCGATAAGGCTCGTTTGCAGTACCTAATCATCTGTCTGCTCCACGCTGTCCTGCAGGCTGATCGGATGGCGCTTTTGAATACTGCTACAACAACCATGACAATCGTAGCCGTCCATTAAGATTGAAAGGCCTCCATTATGGTGCCTGCCTGTGGGGGGAACTGAGCTTTTCTTTGTGCGTGAAACACGGGGCCGTGTAAATCACTCCGCTCGGCTGTGTGTTTATTGATTACAGCCACTTGTGCGCTGAATTCTGCGCCGAATAAAGGAGGGGATTTATTTTCCTCGCTGTCAGAGTGTCAGTGCACAGGCAGAGCCGCTCAGGAGGGTTTTACAGCTCAAGGTGCGACGGGGATACGGGTGAGATTTCTATACGAGCGCACGCGTACGCTCTTGTATACTCTGTGATAGCAACCCTGCTGGGCCATTGATTTCTTTGATGCTCTGTAATGAAGCAATGCTGAGACATAAATTATGTATTAACCAGCAGACAGGCGATGACCTCTGATTCATTCACAACCTGTTATGTTTCATACAGCAGGCCTGCTATGCTTTCGCTTTCATACTGGCGTTACGCTGAGCGAGCCACTTCGGGTCACACATTTTCTGGCTGCCATTTGACACGGCCTCTTGTAGCAATCAACAGAAAAATCAGATATGACAATAAAGACATGCATAGAATCCCCTTAAAGCTCAATCATAACTGCGTTATGAGCGATACAGCTCTTTATATGACACAAATGAAGTCGTCCATCTTCCCCTGGATGGAGTCATCAATTTCCCCTGGCGATAAGGCTCGTTTGCAGTACCTAATCATCTGTCTGCTCCGCGGTGTCCTGCAGGCTGATCGGATGGCGCTTTTGAATACTGCTACAACAAGCATGACAATCGTAGCCGCCCATTAAGATTGAAAGGCCTCCATTATGGTGCCTGCCTGTGGGGGGAACTGAGCTTTTCTTTGTGCGTGAAACACGGGGCCGTGTAAATCACTCCGCTCGGCTGTGTGTTTATTGATTACAGCCACTTGTGCGCTGAATTCTGCGCCGAATAAAGGAGGGGATTTATTTTCCTCGCTGTCAGAGCGTCGGCGTGCAGGCAGAGCCACTCAGGAGAGTTTTACGGCTCAAGGTGCGACGGGGAGACGGGTGAGATTTCTTGTATACTCTGTGATAGCAACCCCGCTGGGCCATTGATTTCTTTGATGCTCTGTAATGAAGCAATGCTGAGACATAAATTATGTATTAACCAGCAGACAGGCGATGACCTCTGATTCATTCACAACCTGTTATGTTTATACAGTCATACAGCAGGCCTGCTATGCTTTCGCTTTCATACTGGCGTTACGCTGAGCGAGCCACTTCGGGTCACACATTTTCTGGCTGCCATTTGACACGGCCTCTTGTAGCAATCAACAGAAAAATCAGATATGACAATAAAGACATGCATAGAATCATCTTACAATAAATAACAATTTCCAAAATGTTCATACGAACAATTTATAGGCCTATGCTGTCTGTAGGATGCGTTTACCCATTTGTTTAACATTTATAAAAGATTTTT